GGGGCTAAATTTGTGTAGCATGCTTACCATTTTATTTTACTTACATTCAGGTATGAGTGAATACTTGAGATTTGTTGTTTTGCTTGGGAGGCAGTTCGTATGCATAGATAACGGATGGAAGTTGCAAGGAAGCTGAGATTTGTGTTAATGAATGCTTGATTTTGGTTATTAACACGCATGACATCTAATATTGTACAATATTGTTACTGACGAGTATGTTTTACTCACAAATTTTGTTCCATTTTAATTTGATTATAGTTAGATCTTATGAGTATTGAATATTTTTAATGTGTTTATTAGTATTGTTTTATAAGATTGGTGAGATAGTGCATGAAATAGTTACGATGCAACTCCGTGCCTTCTTGGAAGGGAAAAAGTTGTCTCTTGTCCTTCGGTGATCTTGCAAAAAAGAGGCTGATGTTTCCTTCCCCGTTTTACCTTTGCATGAAAATCAATAATCGTTTTTAGATAAAGAATTTCAAAGAATAGCATCAATGACAGACGATAATATTTTTTTCTGGAAAAGAGAGATCTCTTTCACCTGACCCTTCCATGGGGTATTTATAGGCTTCTGTCATCACATAATCGCCGGACAGTTATCATCCACATGTTCTTATAAAACCTGCTCGCTCCTTAGGCGATTTTTTCCATTTGTTCAGTAGTTACCCTCCACCCACTACTCCGATAACGGGTTTAATGATAACCATTAGAATGGTTATTGACTAGTTCCAATGATATTCGGGTAATTCGGATAACAGCGATCGGTCCGCGTGTGGCGAGATTCAGACTAGCATAGCAATAAACACTCTACTATGACAAGCATCACCTGACATGCTAAAAGGTATCTGTACCCTATGAGCAAGCGAACATAGCGTCAATCGAACTGGCACAACGACAGTCGCTATATCATGATAGGCGCTATTCGACATAGCGGGAATTGTTCAACATGGTGGGAGTTATCTTCTCTCTACCAATCGTCCCAGTTTATTAATTGAATCAAATATCAGTGCAAATCATGAAAAAATAAAAAATAAAAAAGAAGACTATAGGCATAAATCGAGGAGAAAAGAGGAACAAAAAGGCAAAATAGTCAATTTCCTACATCAAAATAGAAAAGGGAGACATCTACTGACCTGAAAAACAGCGTGGCGCTACACTTAAGGCGCTGCAATGCTATTGCAGAAAACTACGCGACGTCATGGCACCACCTGAAGGACATCTAGGATGCTTTTTTGGGCCCATTTTAAAGTCTATAAAAACTCTACATTCGACACAAACATGATGGGGAGTATAAAGAGAAGAAGAAAGGCACATTTAGGGGGTCGAACACATTGAGAAGAAAAACATACATTGGAAATTGAAGAGAGCAAATCAAAGGAGAGAAACATCAAGAAATTCAATGTCTGAAGTATTGAATGGAAGAGGAAAATGATCTTGACGCAAAATTAATGGTTTTTTCTACATCTTTGATCAAAATTCGGTAATGTATTCAAATGACAATCACATGTTTTTTATTTTTACATTATGAATAGCTAAATTTTATATTATGGCGAATAATGTAATCTATTTGAAACCCTTTATTTCTTTTATTCAAGATTCTTGTTATTTTATCATATATGTATCGATATTATTATGAATTTAATGCGTTGAATTACTTAATCACAAATTCAATGATTTTGTGAATATAATGCGAATCAAGAGTGAGTTTTAAATTTAGACCACATATTAAAATTCTGTAATTTAGAAGTGAATTGCCCAAATAGTCATTGAACTTTACAGAAAGTTTTCATAAGGTCATTGAACTTTAAAAATCACATCATTCATCACTAAACTTTCATTTTGTAATGTCATTCATCACCGAACTCAAATTCTGTTAAAAAAGTTGATGTAGTGTTGATGTGGTTGGCTAATGTGTCAACTAGTGGATGCCAAGTCAAGCAAATGCTATACACGTGGATTTTTTTGAATTAAAACGTGTTTTATTAAAAAAAAATCAAAACCACGTTCACTGCCACACACTGTCAATTCCCACCTCCAAAAAACCACCATCCTGCCACCTAGGCCGTCGGGTATCACCGCTACAGATATCGGCCTCACTCGCCCAACAAATCCCAACCACCATCCCGGCCTCATGCCACCCCCAAACCTACCCCCGATAACCACCAAACCTCTCACCGTTGGCGGCCAAAAAACTTGGAAGCAACCACCCTTCTAGTAAACCCATCACGGCCAACACATATTGGCCTCGTCTACACTCTAAGGCACATCCAACCATGATTTCATATCATCAAATAGTGAAGCAATGCTAAATTTTCAGGCTCAAATTTTTAGTCCCCACATGCATGCATGCACCCGAGGTGAATTCGCCTCCAATTGATGGGCAAGATGATGTCATTGCAACAAATTGGACCCAGTACAACCTTCAGCAGGTTAATATAACCTTGAATAACTCCTTAATTGAATTAATTAATCCATTACTAGCTCCAATTTTCTAAATCAAAATCTGCCCAACTTTTTAGCCGTTTGACATAAATCTGCCTATTTTTTGTTGATATGCGAATTTGCTATTAATTAGTGATGGCTATGGGTGTCGAAGATGTGGTTTACAATGACTAGTGGTGGTTGATTTTGAGGAGGGAGATGGAGATATCTTCTGCTGGTGCGAATTTGTTGTGTTTTAGTTCAACTTTCTTTTTTTCATTTTTTTTTCCTTTGTTATTGAGGGAGTTTCGCCATGTCAACCAGCCATGTCAACACTCCATTGTTTTAATGGAATTTGAGCTCAGTGACTAACGAGATTACAAAATAAAAGTTTAGTGATAAGTGAGATGATTTTAAAGGTTCAGTGACCTCGTGGGTTTAAAGGTTCAGTGACCTCGTGGAAACCTTCTGTAAAGTTCAATAACTATTTAGGCAATTCACTCATAATTTAGCCCCTGTTTGTTTCCCATTATTTGGCTATTAAAATGAAAAATATGATCGTTATCCATCAAATCAAACTACCATATTTGAATTTCTATCTCTTGCGTAGAGTGATAACAACTATATTTTTCATTCTCATTCTTACATTAATGGGAAACAATTCGTATAACATGTAGAGATACTTATGCTATGTTATTGCAGTCGTCATATGAATTCTTAGAACAAATATTTTGTTTAATTAAATATAGATTTACGTAGAGATGTGAAACTAAATTAGTTATATAGGTTCAGTAAGAGTTCGATAGGGGTAAGTTGAATATAATAGAATAATTCAGTCAAACACTATATTGTGAATCTTGAATTAAGATTTAAAAGTTATCAATAGATGAAAATGTTATGCCCTGATATATCATTCTATATTTGAATTTTAAATCGAACGTTGTGTTCACATTGCTATTTTTATTAGTTAAGTTAGAACAACAATCACAACAATCATATTTGTTTCATTCATCAAATAGAAGTTAAAAATATCAAAGTATAGTTTTCGTAGGAACGATAATGCAAACTCAAAAGTCTACTATATTATTTGTTACGATATACTTATGATATTAAAAAAATGCAACAGTTACTATTTTTGAATGTAAGCCATTAGAATCGTTAGTGCGACTATTTTGATGACCCGATATTGTAGTTCATTTTCATTCACCAGTAACTATTATTCATGATATTCGTGTACAGATCATTGAGCATAGCACATACCATTATTCTACAAATGACAATGGAAATAATACATGCCAACAGTTGTAATGATAATCCCGATAGTTTGCTAATGAATTTCTTGACAGTCCGGCCTACATTTTTAAACATATTCATCCATGAAAGTAATTTCTTGAAAGTACTTGAAGATCCATCTTCCATACATTTCGTTAAAAATTAGAAAAAAAATAAATAAATAAACAACTTTCGAAATAAACTTAACACTGCAACAATCAATACAGTTAACAAAAAAAAAAAAATAATAATAATAATAATGCAACAACATCATTCAAACATCATGTGCACTTTCGTTCTCTTTCATCTCCTCGTCAAAATTAATGATGACAATCTTCCAGGTGGAACATAGTCATCATATCCAAACCATCCTCATAAAGGAGTATGTATGTTAACAAATTATAAAAAACCTCTTGAAGGTTGGAGAAGACGACAGGGAAATATTGTCGAAATTCAAGAAGGGAATTCGTAAAGGACACTCCTTTCACTAGAT